CTCGTAGAATGAGTTTGGGAGTGTTCCTCTCTCTGCTATATTTTGGAAGAGTTTAACAAGGATAGATGTTAGCTCTTCTCTAAATGTTTGGTAGAATTCGCCTGTGAATCCATCTGCTCCTGGGCTTTTGTTGGTTGAAAGATTTTTAATCACAGTTTCAATTTCAGTGTTTGTGATTGGTCTGTTCATATTTTCTATTTCTTCCTGGTTCAGTCTCATAAGGTTGTGCTTTTCTAAGAAGTTGTCCATTTCTTCCAGGTTTTTCATTTTATTGGCATAGAGTTGCTTGTAGTAATCTCTTACGATCCTTTGTATTTCTGCAATGTCAGTTGTTACTTCTCCTTTTTCATTTCTAATTCTGTTCACTTGAGTCTTCTCCCTTTTTTGTTGCTGCGTCTGGCTAATGGTTTATCAATTTTGTTTATCTTCTCAAAGAACCAGCTTTATTTTTATTGATCTTTGCTATTGTTTCCTTCATTTCTTTTTCATTTATTTCTGATCTGATTTTTATGATTTCTTTCTTTCTGCCAACTTTGGGGTTTTTTTTCTATTTTCTCTAATTGCTTTAGGTGTAAGTTTAGGTTGTTTATTTGAGGTTTTTCTTGTTTCTTGAGGTAAGATTGTATTGCTCTAAACTTCCATCTTAGGACTGCTTTTGCAGCATCCCATAAGTTTTGGGTGATCGTGTTTTTGACATCTTTATTGGAGTATAATTGCTTTGCATTGGTGTGTTAGTTTCTGCGTTTTCATTTTCAGTTGTTTGTAGGTATTTTTTGATTTCCTATTTGATTTCATCAGTGACCTCTTGGTTATTTTGTAGTGTATTGTTTAGCTTCCATGTGTTTGTATTTTCTACAGTTTTGTTCCCTGTAATTGATATCTACTCTCATAGCATAGTCGTCAGAAAACACACTTGATATGATTTCAATTTTCTTAATTTTATCAAGGCTTGATTTGTGACCCAAGATATGATCTATCCTGGAGAATGTTCCATGAGCCCTTGAGAAAATAGTGAATTCTGTTGTTTTTGGGTGGAAAGTCCTAAAAATATCAATTAAGTCTATCTTGTCTGATGTGTCATTTAAAGCTTGTGTTTCCTTATTTATCCATTGGTGAAAGTGGGGTGTTAAAATCTCCTACTATGATTGTGTTCCTGTCGATTTCCCCTTTTATGGCTGTTAGCATTTGCCTTATGTATTGAGGTTCTCCTATGTTGGGTGCATAAATATTTACAATTGTTATATCTTCTTCTTGGATTCATCCCTTGATTATTATGTAGTGTCCTTCTTTGTCTCTTGTAATAGTCTTTATTTTAAAGTTTATTTTGTCTGATATGAGAATTGCTACTCCAGCTTTCTTTTGATTTCCATTTGCATGGAATATCTTTTTCCATCCCCTCACTTTCAGTCTGTATGTGTCCCTCGGTGTGAAGTGGGTCTCTTGTAGACAGCATATATACAGATCTTGTTTTTGTATCCATTCAGCCAATCTATGTCTTCTGGTTGGAGCATTTAGTCCATTTACATTTAAGGTAATTATCTATATGTATTTTCCTATTACCATTTTCTTAATTGTTTTGGGTTTGTTATTGTAGGTCTTTTCCTTCTGTTGTGTTTCTTGCCTAGAGAAGTTCCTTTAACATTTGCTGTAAAGCTGGTTTGGTGGTGCTGAATTCTCTTAGCTTTTGCTTGTCTGTAAAGGTTTTAATTTCTCCATCGAATCTGAATGAGATCCTTGCTGGGTAGAGTAATCTTGGTTGTAGATTTTTCTCTTTCTTCTCTTTAAATATGTCCTGCCACTCCCTTCTGGCTTGCAGAGTTTCAGGTGCAAGAGCATCTGTTATCCTTATAGGGATTCCCTTGTATGTTATTTGTTGCTTTTCCCTTGCTGCTTTTAATATTTTTTCTTTGTATTTAATTTTTGATAGTGTGATTAATATGTGTCTTGGCGTGTTTCTCCTTAGATTTATCCTGTATGGGACTCTCTGCACTTCCTGTACTTGATTTAGTATTTCCTTTCCCATATTAGGGAAATTTTCAACTATAGTCTCTTCAAATATTTTCTCAGTCCCTTGCTTTTTCTCTTCTTCTTCTGGGAACCCTATAAGTCAAATGTTGGTGCTTTTAATGTTGTCCCAGAGGTCTCTGAGGCTGTCCTCAATTCTTTTCATTTTTTTTCTTTATTCTGCTCTGTGATAGTTATTTCCACTATATTATCTTCCAAGTCACTTATCTGTTTTTCTGCCTCAGTTATTCTGTTATTGTTTCCTTCTACAGAATTTTTAATTTCATTTATTGTGTTGTTCATCATTGTTTGTTTACTCTTTAGTTCTTTTGGTCCTTGTCAATATTTCTTTTATTTTCTCCATTCTATTTCCAAGATTTTGGATCATCTTTACTATCATTGCTCTGAATTCTTTTTCAGGGAGACTGCCTATTTCCTCTTCATTTGTTTGGTCTGTTGGGTTTTTACCTTGCTCCTTCATCTGCTGCATATTTCTCTGTCTTCTCCTTTTGTTTAATTTACTGTGTTTGCGGGTCTCCTTTTTGCAGGCTGCAGGTTCGTAGTTCCCATTGTTTTTGGTGTCTGCCCCCAGTGGGTGAGGTTGGTTCAGTGGGTTGTGCAGGCTTCCTGTTGGAGAGGACTGGTGTCTATTTTCATGGTTGGGAATGGAACTTGCCTTTCTTGTGGCCAGGGCCGTGGCCAGTCGTGTGTTTTGTTTTGTTTTATTTTTCTTTTGCCGTACGCGGGCCTCTCACTGTTGTGGTCTCTCCCGTTGCAGAGCACAGGCTCCGGATGTGCAGGCTCAGCGGCCATGGCTCACGGGCCCAGCTGCTCTGTGGCATGTGGGATCTTCCCAGACCTGGGCACGAACCCGTGTCCCCTGCATCGGCAGGCGGACTCCCAACCAATGCGCCACCAGGGAAGCCCCCAGTGGTGTGTTTTTGTGTGTCTGTGAACTTAGTATGATTTTAGGCAGCCTCTGCTAATGGGTGGGGTCGTGTTCCTGTCTTCCTAGTTGTTTAGCATGGGGCTTCCAGTACTCGAGCTTGCTGGCCATTGGGTGGGGCTGGGCCTTAGCGTTGAGACAGAGATCTCTGGAGAGCTTTTGCCGATTGATATTACATAGGGCTGGGAGGTCTCTGGTGGTCCAATGTCCTGAACTCTGCTTTCCCACCTCAGAGGCTCAGGTGTGACACAAGGTCAGAGCACCAAGACACTGTCAGCCACATGGTTCAGAATAAAAGGGAAAAAAAAATAAAGAAAAAAAATTTTTAATTAAAAATTAAAAAATAAAGTAAATTTTAAAAAAATTATTAAAATAAGAAAATAAAATTAATTTTAAAAAGAAGATAGCAACCAAACTAATAAACAAATCCACCAGTGATAACAAGCGTTAAAAACGAAACTAAGATAAACATAAAAGTCAGAAACAAATCAGTCATAGACAGCAAACCCCAAGTCTACAGTTGCTCCCAAAGTCCACCGCCTCAATTTTGGGACAATTCCTTTTCTGTTCATTTATTCCACAGATGCAGGGTACATCAAGTTGATTATGGGGATTTAATCCTTTCCTCCTGAGGCTGCACAGAGAAATTTCCCTTTCTCTTCTTTGTTCGCACACCTCCTGGGGTTCAGCTTTGGTTTTGGCCCCACCTCTGCATGTAGGTCGCCCTCAGGCATCTGTCACCCACCCAGAGAGGACGGAGTTAAAGCATTGGCTGATTAGGGTGCTCTTGCTCACTTAGGCTTGGGGGAGGGAGGGTAGTCATAATTGGAATGCAAGTCGAGCCTGCAGTGGCAGAGGCTGGCATGATGTTACAACAGCCTGAGGTGTGGTGTGTGTTCTCCCGGGGAAGTTGTCCATGGATCATGGGACCCTGGCAGTGGCGGGCTGCACAGGCTCCCGGGTGTGTGTGTGTGTGGATAGTTACCTGTGCTTGCACACAGGATTCTTGGTGGCGGCAGCAGCAGCATTAGCGTTTCATGCCCGTCTCTGGGTCTGAGCTGATAGCAGTGGCTCGTGCCCATCTGTGGAGCTCGCTTAGGCAGTGCTCTGCCTTCTGTGGGCACACGCGGAAGGAATCCCCTCTCTTCACGCACCGCAAAACAATGGTCTCTTGCCTCTTAGGCAGGTCCAGACTTTTTCCCGGACTCCCTCCCAGCTAGCTGTGGTGCACTAGCCCCTTTCAGGCTGTGTTCACGCAGCCAACCACAGTCCTCTCCCTGGGATCTGACCTCTGAAGCCTGGGCCTCAGCTCCCAGCCCCCACCCACCCCCGCAAGTGAGCAGAGAAGCATCTCAGGCTGGTGAGTGCTGGTCGGCACTGATCCTCTGAGTGGGAATCTCTCTGCTTTGCCCTCCGCACCCCTGTTGCTGTGCTCTCCTCTGTGGCTCCAAAGCTTCCCCCCCGCCCACCCCCTGTCTCCGCCAGTAAAGGGGCTTCCTAGTGTGGGGGAGCTTTTCCTCCTTCACAGCTCCCTCCCAGAAGTGCAGGTCCTGTCCCTATTCTTTTGTGTTTGTTTTTTCTTTTGCCCTACCTAAGTAAGTGGGGATTTTCTTGCCTTTTGGGAAGTTTGAGGTCTTCTACCAGCGTTCAGTAGCTGTTCTGTAGGAGTTGTTCCACATGTAGATGTATTTTTGATGTATTTGTGGGGAGGAAGGTGATCTCCATGTCTTACTCCTCTGCCATCTTGAAGGTCCTCCCATTGGTTCTTATCTTGACAATATCTCTCTTCTTTCTCTTTCAGTTTTCATTCACTTATTTATTCAAAATTTCTAACTGCTTTCTAGGTAACAGGTGCTGAACTATGATAACATGGGCTTTAGAATCAGATGAACTAGTTTCAAATTGTAACACTCCCTCTGACTAACTTCTGTGATCTTAGGCAAGTTGCTTAACCTCTCTGCACCTCAGTTTTCTCATGTGTTACAAAGGGATACTAATAGTGGTATACAATAGCCCCTCTTGTCCACAGTTTTGCTTTCCCTGGTTTCAGTTACCCAACGTCAACTGTGGTCCGAAAATATTAAATGGATAACTCCAGAAATAAACAATTCTTAAGGTTTAAATTACATGCCATTCTGAAGTAGTGTGATGAATCTCATGCTGTCCAGCCCCATCTCGCCTGGGATCACCAACCATCATCTGCTCCTGAGAGCCAATCATTGACATTGCCATGGCTAGACGATCCATGATCTCCCGAAGCAGATGATCCTCCTTCTGAGATACCGTCAGAAGGTCAGTAGTAGCCTAAGGCTACAACATAATGCCTCCATCAATCACCTCACTCCATCTCATCACATAGGCATTTTGTCATCTCACATTATCACAAGAAGAAGGGCGACTAAAGTACAATAAGGTATTTTTGAGAGAGAGAAAGAGCACATTCACACGTTTTATTACAATATACTGTTATAATTATTCTACTTTAGTATTAGTTATCATTAATTTCTTACTATGTCTAATTTATAAATTAAATTTTATCGTAGGTATGTATTATAGAAAAAAACACAGTATTGTACATATATAGGATTTGGCACTCTCCATGGTTTTAGGCATCACTGGGGATCTTGGAAGGTATTCCCCATGGATAAAAGGGGACTACTGTACTACTTTTAAAACAGTACCTGGCTCACAGTCAGCATTAAACAAATGTTGCTGTTATTGCTGCTACTGTCCCTGTTGCTACTATAGGAGTGTTGTCAAGGTAAATGTGACAATGTATAGAAAATGCTTAACATGGTGCCCCACTATAGTAGCACATGATAAACAATAGCTATTATTAGCATTATTTCTGTGTTAGGCACAAGAGGTACACAGATGAGTAAGTCATCCTCTCTACTCTTGGAGAACTAACCGCCCAGTATTTACAGCTACCAGATTAATCCAACCGTACTTTAGAGTTCAGTTCAAATGTGACCTTATCCACAAGGCTTTCACTGATCCCCTCAGCTGGGAAGAATATTAAAAATATTGCCTTTTACTAAAATTTCCATGACCGATTTTTTTTCCTACACTTCCCTTATCAAATTTTAGCACATTATATTTTTATTTGTTTACACATTTTTCTCTATTTCTAGACTTTTAGTTACTAGAAGGGCAGTGAATGTGTTTTATTAATCTTTTAGCTGCCAGAGTATATGCAAAGGGTTTTGCATTCTTTTGTCCTTCCTTCCATCTTCATTCATCTTATTCCACCAAATATTTGAGTGTTCCTTGTTTATAGTGGGTATTTGAAAAAGGCTGGTTAAATAAATAAGCAATGGGGTTAATCATTTGAAATTCAAGAAGGTGCATGTTATTAGGTCTATCTCATATATTTTCAAAAAGTATAAAATTTAAACTACTTGAGGCCATAAGAACAGATTTCCACTTCATTTTGAGTTTGTGCTAAGTTCCACTTGGTAACTTTTTGGCTCCATCTTACAGCTATTTCAAGTGGGATTCTTTCATGGTGTACATATTTTTAAAATATTGTCATGCTGTGCCCAGGATAGTCACAGAACTTCCACAGCAAGTGCTCCTTGTTGAAGTACAGAGTTATTAATAATGACAAGTCATTTGGATACTTTAATTAGTGTCCAGCACTATTTCCATTAGTTAATACATATTTTTAACATCATAGTGCCCTACAACAATTGTATTGTAGATTTCCCTGGCACTGCAATTTCCCCAATGGATTATGCCATCCTATGTTTCTGGAGATCTTGTTAAAAATACTAAGAAAATGTCTTCTGTAGGTAAAGGTCACATAGTTAATCAAAAATATTTTTAATGCCAACTGGTCAAACCTTTTCCTCTACTCCTTTTTAAACATGTAGAAGACTTTCCATAATCTTTCTCCTACACTCCTACCCTTCCTCTTCCTTTTGTTCACTTGATTCTGAATAAAGGGGTACAGGAAAAGGAGATTAGATAGGGCCATACAAAAATCTCTTCGGAGTTATCCAAACACCAAGCAATCCTAGACACTACTGCCATCCAAAATTCAGTTGCCATAGTTTGTAGCAAAAGTCAGTTCTGTGTCTTTAGTAACTGTAAAGTTATGAAAATAGCTGTTATATTAAAGCATTAGAAAGTGTATTTACCCAGATACTTAGTAAAATATAGTCATTGATTAATATGTGGAGCTTTTTCTGTTTTGTTCACTCATGTATTCTCAGAACTAGAAAGCAAAGTAGATGTGCAATAAATATTTTTGATTAAATGCACAAAGGAAGAGATCTCACAGTACCTAAACACTGTGAGCTCTAAAGACTATTTTTTTAAGTTGTTTTGAATGTAGAATTACCAAACAGCTGTTCTGATTTTTATTAGGTGAATCCCATCAAGTGTTTTACTAATTTCCTATAGCAATTTTCATTATTTCTGAGAATGGAGACGGAAGTCAGATGAAATCACCTTTTCATTTGAACTTACTGCACTTAATTTTGATTTTTTTTCTCCTACACAAGATATCTCCCTCTAAACTGTCCTCCTCCAAACCCATTCAAAGTTATCTACTTGTACACATTGGAGTCTGAGATAGACACTGATTTTTAAATCATCAGACCTCTGAAAAATGCTAACATTTTCATATATGGGTATTTAATATGCATAACTCTAATTGTAAACTACCCTGTCTCTAGTTTTTGTTTTCTTTTGAAACAGAAACCTGAACTACTAGGAGCCTGAATTAGAGGGACAGGTGGACTGTCATCTCAAAAAGTGTCCTCTGAGCCTTATCCCTGAGGATCTGTGCCCAGGATAGCATAACTAACATCAGGGAGCATTAGGAGTAGAGAAGGTCATTTTCTACTTGGTTAGAAGCTCTCCCCTTGGACCTAGATCATGACCTGGCCTTTCAGTTTGGCACAAGGAAGAAATTTTACTAAAAAGTGATATGAGACACACATGGCCCTTAATGATCTGGCTCCTGTCCATGTCCCTAACCTCACTTCCAGACACACCTCGTGCTGCCATATTTTGCACTTCTTTGCCCTGCATTCCCAAAAAAGTAAATCATATGGTGGAATGTGAGGGACACATCAGGTGTGTGAGGCAGATGTTTTAGAGTAGGAAGCCTCATAGGTGCTCTCACCATACCTAATTATGGGGATGTTTCAGTCTGGAGAACTTGGATTGAGAACTTCCTAAGTGCTGCCAATCAGAATTAACTGTTTTCTCCTCTACACTCCCATAATGTTTTGTTTGATGTTCTGTCTTTCAAAACTTACCATGCTTTGTGTTATATTATTCTTAGCTGTGAATGTGGATATATCTCCCATTAGATCATAATCTTGAAGGCAGAGTTTATCTATTTTCTCATGTCTCTCATCATTTTCTACAATACTTTGGGTATAATCAAGCTGAATACTTATTTTTAATTGTTCAAAAATAAAGATGATGCTATGGGACCTGAGAGGGTATCCATTTGAGTCCTATTCAAGTTTCCCCTTCCCCATCACTGTCCTGTCTCTACCCCAACCATCATCACCAAGCTAAATCCCAGATACCACTGTAAAGAGATATTTTTTAAAACACGATTAGGCTGAGGATAACAGGTTTAACTCACAGTTATTGAATACTCATTTGACTGATGAGGAGATGGAGACCCAAATAACTTTCAGTAGCTTTGCCAAATGTCACACAATTACACAGCTAGTAAGTGGCTCTGCCAGGACTGAAATTCAAGCCCCCTGACACGAAGTCAAAGTCTCTTTCCACAAACGCTGAAACGTTTAGATGGACTTCTCTCACTCTCTAGTTTATAATTCTAATGCACCTAGTTGTTTAATCAGAAACTTATTTTGTGTACCCTCAGCCAGGAAGAAGCTAAATATTCTGAACACATGAAGCTCATTTTAATGACATACTTATTTCTATGTTTATGTATTTGTGCCTTTATTTATATTATATTTTTTGTGTTTGTATGTTTATGTATCCAGGTATTTAGTGTACTTATGTATTTATATGTGTGTGCTTATTTTTTATGTATGCTTTTATGTATTTCTTTATCTTACCTGTAGGGCTATGAAGCTCTTACTCCCAATGCTATTAGAGGAGAGCACATCGGTTAATTGTACCGTAATTTCCTATAGTGTTTCTGAGGATTTCAGCTTAAAATAGGTGTTGAATTTCAATGAAAAGACCCCAGCTCTTGAGCTCCTGGGGGAGAGGACAGAGAGAGCAGCTTTGTGCAGAACCAAATTGCTGAGCTTTGGAAACACCTCGAAGCCAACGGAAACTTCAGCTACAAGAGCAGGAAAAAAAGAGACCAAAAGCTACCCAAGCTTAAAAGAGAATGAGGAAAATGATGAAGAGAAGCTCAGGAGCAAGCAAGAAGTACTGTGATGCTACAGAGGAACAGGGACCTCAGAGAGTTCAAGAGGTATAGCTGGCCTGGAGAAGCAGCAGGCAGAACCCAGAGAAAGGGCCAACATGAGGGAGCTGATGTTTCCCACCCTGAAGGTGATACAGGACCATGTGGACGTTTTAAAGAGCACACAGGAAAAGCTCATCAAAGACTACGGGACACTGATGAATGAGGTCACAGGACTGAAAGAAACCCTAAGAGAGGAAAATTATCGAATAAATATCATGGAAGAGAGAACAGTACAAATGAGGACCAAATTGAGCTTCAGTCTCAAAAGATAAAAATTTTAAGCAAACAGTTCTTCACAGAACAAGAAGAGGTGATGGATCTTGAAAACACATCAAGGAGGTATAATATTTGTGTATCTGGCATCACTGAAGGTATAGAAAATGAGAGTAACCTTGAAACTATTATTGAGGAAATTATTGAAAAACATTTTCCAGAGCGAAACAAAGATCTCAACTTACAGAGAGAATTTACAGGTCCCCACTTAAATATACCTCTTAAAGTAAAAGTCCAAGGCACATAATTGTACAGTTCCTGAATTTGAAAGAAAAAGAAATAATCTTGCAAGCTGCTCAGAAAAAAAAGGAGGACTGATTTTCAACAAAGTAAAGATAGGGCTGACCCCTGACTATGCCTTACTTACAGTGCAAGAGAGACAAAGTTGGAGCAAGATCTACTACCACCTGAAGTTCCTGGGTCTGAAGCCTCAAGTGAACCATCCTGCCAAGCTATCTTGCCTATTTGAAGATGAGAGAAGAATGTTTGACAATCAAGATGACTTCAAGGGATTTGTCAGCAAAACTCCAAAACTACTGGCTTTTCTGCAAACAGCTGCAGCCCAGGGAGAGTGTGCTCCTTGAGATAAGTGACTAAATTGATATACAAAACTGTTTCTTAATAGAATGTAGATCTTAGTTTTATGATTAATTTCATTTTTGCCAGGGTAATTAGTGAAAATGAAGTACAAATGTAATGTTGACCGATTTGCCCTTAAGTGTATGTATATCTACATCTATATCCATATCTTTACCTATCTATATATCTATCTATCATCTATCTATTCTACATGAGAAGGGGAGAAGAAAAAGTTTTAAAAAATGGGAAGGGATGAGGGAGGGATAAATGGAAAAGAGGATATGAATACAGCAAGATAATAGTAGTGGGTGGGATAGGGAAACATTGGAATATGATAGATAAAATAATAAAAAATAATTTTATTGTGAATGTGAAAGCAATAAACTATAGGAAATTAACAGACTTGTTCAGAGAAAGAAAGTTTTCCCCCACCCTCTGTCAAGGGTACTTGGATCTTTTAGAAAATTTGACCATATCTTAGAGCACAAAACAAGTAGAACTGGAAGAGATGCATGTACATTGAAATGATTGCCTATAAACTGATATTTTTAGAAACAGATTGTAAACAGTGGGTGATGTTGCAGTGATGTGTTTTTAAATTGCTAATTTGTATTGCTCCTGCAGTTTATATGTCTCCATTTAACTTTAATTAATATAATTTGTTAATCATACAATAAATGGAGCTTAAAGAACCCAATTGTTGACTTCTTTACTTTCCTTTGGACAACTGATTAAAAGCTCCCGAATGACATTACCTCCCTTCTCTTCCTCATATCCCAGCCCCCCGAAAATTTCTACAATTTAGACACACTGGAGGCAAGTCAGACTCTGAAGCAGAAAAAAAAAGCTTTCCTGGCACTGGCACTTTAAAGCATCCTGCCTGTGTCAGACCTAAACTGCTCGTCAAAGCCACTCTGCCTGCCCACCAAAGGCAGTGGGGCTGAGCCCACCTCTTTCCTTCTGGGGCCATCAACTTCATCCAACATAGGAAAAGGGGACAATGAAACACTTTGCAGCCCACCCTCAGAGGCTTCCTTCATTTTATAAGTCTATCCCTGAACTCTTACCCCCATGTACTCAGATGCACACAACATACAAGCACACACATCTTTTCTTCTTGTTGTTTCTTATATAAATAAAAGGCATCTTATGATGCTAGGAGAATTATTATTTGGGGACAGTGGGGCAATAGTTTACCTTCCTGGTAAATGGTATGTAGGCCAAACAGAACCTTGTGGCCCTGCTAGATTGGAACACCACAAAACATCATTTTCTCTATCCACCCATTAACCTTAAGTTAAATTCACCTAGGCAATCACACTGTTGGTTTGCTTTACGACAGGCATCCAGAAGCCTGATCATGCAGGTCTCCATGGCTTATGGCTCACAATGAATGTTTTGATTAAATAAGTTTCAGTTCTGGTTCATCACTTGCATTTGATTTATTCTTGGAATCTTCCTTCACAGTCCTGAAAATACCCTCAGTTATAGCTTCTGGAAGTGACTTAATGCCCCAAACTGTGCCTTTAATAATTGAAATCCTGGATAAGTTGAAACCCAAACTCTGTGGATGGGCCCCAGCTTCCCTTTCCATCTCTAAAAGAAGGTACTTCCCACCTCCAAACCTCAACACCCCTACCCCAGGTCTTACTGTTAGAACCTAATCTGTCTGGTTGGGCCTCCTCACTGTCCCAGAGCACTACCTGTCTAGTGCCACCTTAGTTCCTTTCTTGTCTACTCCATGGCTGAGACTTAATGGGGAGTTGGGAGGAGTGCTAAAACATATTAGCACCTCTCCTGTGCACCAAATACTCTAGAGATCTAACTCAGCCTTTAGGTGGCTTACCACAGTAGTAAAGTGGGGGGAGGAGGAATGCACTATAGTGCTCATCATTCTCTTGAGATTGTATGAAAATTATCAGGATTCTTGGTAGTTCCTGTTTACCACTGAGAATCACTGTCCTAAAGCATAAAACTGGAAGAAAGTGGTTTGTGTTAGCATACGGTATTTATTATTCTTGTTCTGACTTACTTCACTCTGTATGACAGATGCTAGGTCCATCCACCTCACTACAAACAACTCAATTTCATTTCTTTTCATGGCTGAGTAATAGTCCATTGTATATATGGGCCACATCTTCTTTATCCATTCATCTGTCGATGGACACTTAGGTTGCTCCCATGTCCTGGCTATTGTAAATAGGGCTGCAATGAACATTGTGGTACATGACTCTTTTTGAATTATGGTTTTCTCAGGGTATATGCCCAGTAGTGGGATTGCTGGGTCATATGGTAGTTCCATTTTTAGTTTTTTAAGGAACCTCCATACTGTTCTCCATAGTGGCTGTATCAATTTACATTCCCACCAACAGTGCAAGAGGGTTCCCTTTTCTCCACACCCTCTCCGGCATTTATTGTTTGTAGATTTTTGGATGATGGCCATTCTGACTGGTGTGAGATGATACCTCATTGTAGTTTTGATTTGCGTTTCTCTAATGATTAGTGATGTTGAGCATCCATTCATGTCTTTGTTGGCAGTGGGATAGGAGAGGGTGGGAGGGAGACGCAAGAGGGAGGAGATATGGGGATATATGTATATGTATAGCTGATTCACTTTGTTATAAAGCAGAAACTAACACACCATTGTAAAGCAATTATACTCCAATAAAGATGTTAAAAAAAAAGAAAGAAAGTGGTTTGTTAGTGAATGTTTAACGGCTTTCTGAGGAAAAAAACCCTGATTTGTATCATTTGCTTGTTCAGTGGTGTAAATTCTATGGCCGTGGCCAATTTTTAGCTACCAACATGATGTTACTAAATGCTGGGTTAAGGCAAGATGCATACATTCAGCTCTCCTGAGCCAGGCATAGCTGCCTCCAGCACATCACTGGGAGGAGACCACCTTTGCCCTGTGCATCTCCTGGTTGGACTACTATAACACAAATTTAGCTTAAAAAAAATCTCATCATCCTAGACTGGACTTAATTACAGAGAAAGTCTCCCCAGACAAACCTGTGCATGTACATGGTCCTTGGTGTCTCACTTCCTTTAAGCTCCACCTTCTTGAAGCTTTTCTAGCACTCCTCTGGTCCCAAATACAGCTTTTGTAAGACAGTTGCTCTTTTATTCTGTCTAGGCCGAGAGTCTTTAGACCTTACAAATCACATTAATCCTGCCTCTACACTCAACCACACTCCCTACTTCAATGTGCATAGTATGTACTCAGTAAAACCTTGTGTTTAACAGTTGTCTCATAATTCGTAACAGGCGATTTTGAAGCTTTTGCAGGAGGATCCCTTTTCCAGTCCCCAGGGCTCAAGGTGTCAAAGTGCAAAGGGGTATGGCTCACCATACCCCTTCTGGTATCACCACCTCCCAGGACAGTAACAGTGAGAGCTCCCATACCACCCCACCTCCTGTACATCTCACCAGTTTAAGGGGATGGAGAGTCAGAGGAGGGCCAACCTTTAAGAATAAGACTGATCATTCTCAAAACATTCCTGAAAGAGGAGTTGTTTAATATCAGCCAGCTCTAGAGTAATAAACCAGGAGAGAAACCCAGACTTCTTTTTTTTTAATTTTTATTAAAAAATATTTTTATTGAAGTATAGTTGATTTACAATGTTGTGTTAGTTTCTGGTGTACAGCAAAGTGATTCAGTTTTATATATATATATATATATATATATATATATATATATTCTTTTTCAGATTCTTTTCCACTATGGTTTATTATAGGATATTGAATATAGTTCCCTGTGCTATACACTAGGGCCTTGTTATTTATTTTATAAACAGTAGTTTGTATCTGCTAATCCCAAACTCCTGATTTATCCCTCCCCCACCCCCCCTTTTCCCCTTTTGTAATCATAGGTTTGTTTTCTACCTATGTGAATCTGTTTCTATTTTGTAAATAAGTTCATTTGTATCACATAACCACACTTAAGTGATATCATATGGCATTGGTCTTTCTCTCTCTGACTTACTTCACTTAGTATGATAATCTCTAGGTCTATCCATATTGCTGCAAATGACACTATTTCATTCTTTTTTATTGCTGAGTAGTATTCCATTGTGTGTGTGTGTGTGTGTGTGTGTGTGTATTTATATAAATACACACACACACACCTTCTTTATTTATTCTTCTTTCGATGGACATTTAGGTTGAGGAAGCTCTTTCCGTATTGCCATCATCTCTATTTTATTTTTCCCTTTGGCAGATCATGAAAACCAGTCTATTCTGATCATGTAAGTATCCAAGGTGGAGTGTGTTTTCATATCTGTGGCCCTTTGTCCCCAATGCAGAAGAGGAAGATGCCACTTGCTCTGTTTTGTTAATGAGAAAGTACCGAGAACAAAGTCTGTGATGCAAAGATGTGGGGGGGGCGGCGCTGAGGAGAGATGGGCAGGAAGGCCTGTGAGGCCTTAGGAAGCTGGAGCTCCCCATCCAGCCTGCTCAATGGTGCCGGTCTCCCCCGGGGCCCCTGCCTCTCCGAGTGGTCTCACATTTGTTGGGAGGTGTGTGTTTGCCGTGGCTCACGTGACATCTTAGGGGGCCCGTTTACACACACGGGGCTTGTTTCTCTTTGTCTCTCTGTTTCGATTGCTCCAAACAGCTGAGAATCCAGGGCAGGAAAGACTGTGAACACCAAAAGGATCACCCAGTACTTTGCAACAATTGCAGCGTCTGGAGACCTCACCATGAAGAAGCACTCCAAAATGAGGTTATGGAGAGGAGAAAGGCTTGCCCTGCTTCCGCTGCCAACCTTTGTCTTGAAGTGTGTGTATGTGGTGGGGGGAAGGCCAGCAGAGCCAATGTCAAGAACTCCACCTCAGCTAAGTCATAGCCCCAGTCTCTCTTGGCCTCTATCACCAGCTTTATAAATATTGGGCTGCAAAATTTCCTCTAGGGAGCTTGGCCAGAGAATATTTCTCCTTCTGCAGGCAGGCTACAAGGTCCAAGACCCACAGAGGTAGCCTAGAGATGGAGCTTCTAATATCTCAATTGCCAGCCATAGTTTGAATGAGGGGCTTCTATGAAGTCTGAATAATAAGTCCTTTCAAGATTCTACAGTGACCCAGAGCAAAAAAAAGAGTGAGTGGTATTCTCACCCACACAGTCCCAGGACCTTTTTCAGGCTTCCACGACATTCATGGGGAATCTGGGCTCTAGATTCTGGCTGCTGGTGCGAGCACAAGCTTCGGCCTAAGGACTTCAGAGAGTAGGAGGATGCTATCATTGCCTTCTTTTCTACATTATTAACAATGCATTTGATTGGTGATTCTCTGTTTTACTAAGTACATTCACATCTGTTTTTTAAATTAAAAAATTTGTATTGAAGTATACTTGATCTACAATGTTGTGTTAGTTTCATGTGTACAGCAGAGTGATTCAGTGTTTTATGTAAATATATATATAATATTCATATATATGTATCCGATTCTTTCCCCTTATAGGTTATTACAAAATATTGAGTAGAGTTCCCTGTGCTATATGGTAGGTCCTTGTTGGTTATCTATTTTATATACAGTAGTGTGTAGATGGCAATCCCAACCTCCTAATTTACCCCTGCCCCACCCCTTTCCCCTTTGGTAACCATAAGTTTGTTTTCTACCACTGTGGGTCTATTTCTGTTTTGCATAGAAGTACATCTGGATCTTGTTTTTCGATTCCATATGTAAGTGATATCACATGATATTTCTCTTCCTCTGTCTGACTTATTTCACTTAGTATGATAATCTCTAGGTCCATCCGTGTTGCTGCAAATGGCATAATTTCTTATTTTTTACGGCTGAGTAATATTCCATTGTCTATATATACCATATCTCATTTATCCATTCATCTGTTGGTGGATGTTTAGGCTGCTTCCATGTCTTGGTTATTGTAAATAGTGCTGCAATGAACACTGGGGTGCACGCATCTTTTCGAATTATAGTTTTCTCCGGATATATGCCCAGGAGTGGGATTGGAGGATCACATGGTAACTTTATTTTAAATTAAAAGGTTTTTTTTACTTTTATCATTACAAACTTCCAATGCAGAGGGAGCATTGTAGTGGTTAAGAACATGGGACTTCATTTTGCAATATATACAAATATTGAATCATTATGTTGTATACCTGAAACTAATGTTGTGGATCAATTATACCTCAATAAAAAAAAAAAAAAGAAGGAAGGAACTGAGAAGTTTTCAGTTACTTTGCATAAAAAATTTTTGAATTATTTTCTAAATAAGACCCTTTTTTATAGGTATATTATAATCAATAAAGTGGTTTAAGTAATTAAAAAAAAACATGGGACCGTGGAACTGTATATACAGATTGCCTGGATGCGAATCCTAGCTCTTCCACTTGCTGGCTGTGTTGGCCTTAGGCAATTTTTTAATGGCTCTGAGTTTCACCTTCTTCATCTGTAAATGGGACTGATACTATCCCCGAGTGTTGTGATTGGGATAAAATGAGTTAATATTTATAAGGCACTTAGTGCCTGATACCATCATAGTGATTTCTATACAAATGTTTTGAAAATAGGCATGGATATTTCCACCCTGACATAGAATAATTTTCACTTTAGTGTTCCAAACAACCATTTGTGTTTGGCCAATTTTACCTCTTAAATATTTCGGGAATGCTTGCTCTCTCCTCCTTCTTTACTTCCACTGCCCTGGTTTCAGCACACAGTAACAGTAAACTGCTTACAGTTCTCCATGCCTTACTTGCTGGTCTTTCCTATTGCAATTCTCTGATTCCCATGGCACCCCCTTCTTTGGCTTTCTCCTACTTGTTCTCTATCACTGTTTATCCTCAGACTACAAACTCCTTAAGAGCAGAAACTGCCATTCTCCCTGGATTGTCAGCATCTATAACAATGTCTGGCACAAAGAAAATACTCAGCAAACGTGTATTGAATTAGTGGATGGTTGGTTGCTGTGTCCCAGGCACTATGTAGTAGTTTACAGGGGGATTTTCATTCAATCCTACCTAAAACTCTGTGTGATATTAAGTACAATTATTATCCCCAGTTTACAAATAGGAAAACTAAGACCTGGAAAGGTTAAATAACTTGCCCCTAAAATACCTATTTATATTCATATGGTTATTCTATTCTTATGTGATAATCTGTACTTTATAATGGTGTGTAGGAACAGAGGATGCCAGGAAGCCACAGCTGATATCCCTGATGCATGAAGATATGATATTCAATTTTCCTATTAAAAGCACAGTTACTTTATTTTTATGTAGCTTGTTCTCAAATCACAGTATTTTTTCTTTAGATAATTTTTTTAACATCTTTATTGGGGTATAATTGCTTTACAATGGTGTGTTAGTTTCTGCTTTATAACAAAGTGAATCAGTTCTTTAGATAATTTTTAATCTTCTATGAATGTAAAAATTGTGCATAAAGAAAAATGTGGCTATTTCTTACAACAATCAATTGATCTGGGGGTCCACTGGATGCTATGCTTTAATCCCATCATATAGTATATGTCAGGAGCTTTGGTTAGTATCTTATCCATACATAATCATTTGAAACAGTCATTCATGGTTAACTAAATTTATGAAAGGTTATCTACATCATTGAAATCATGTTTCTCTAGGGCATTTGTGGAAAGCTGTACAGATTAATGATAGCAGTAGTGGTGGTAGTGGTAGCAACAGCAGCAGCTACCATTTACTGAGCACCTACCATGTACCAGGGCTACTATGCTGTAAGTTTTACTTACAGTATCCCATGGAAGGCCTGTGCAATAGCTTCTGTTGTTTTATTTTACAGATGGGGAAACTGAGACTCAGAGAGTTTAACTCACTTTCTTGAGGTCACTCAGCTATTGAATAGTGGAACCAGACTGAAATCCAAATTTGTGTGTCTCTAAAGCCTGGGGTTTTAGTCCAAGCTAGACTTTGAAGGCTGTCCAAGTTACTTAACCCTCTCTGAGCTTCAGTTTCCTCATCTGTAAAATTGAGGGAAGTAACACACCTTGCAGTGTTGCTATGAAGATTTGAAATAATAGACGCCCAGGGCTCAGAGGCACATAGTAGGCATATAAGCCCTGGTGGGGTGGTGTTTATGCTTACGTGGGGTATTAAATGGGCAGAGGAAGATCTGAGATCCCTTTAAAGGCATTGGGGAGCTGAAGAGGAGGGATCTACAGCTTTGGCAGGCTTGAGAGCTGGCCCTCTCCCCTCCAGAATACAATGACCCAATGAAACTCTGAGCGACAGGCGAGGGGGCAGGGGCCTGAATCTGGCTCCAGCAACCTCTGCAGGGAATCGTGAGAGGGGCGGGAGCTGGGAGGGGCGTGGAAATCCCGGTTGTCAGAGGACTGCAGGTGTCAGGGAGTTAGTGTAGGTGGGCTCCCAGAGCCTGGCAGAGGGAGGAGGGGAGGCTGGAGCGGCAGAGCCGGCGGGGGAGAGAGGGAGGCGTGGCCCTGAGCCTGGGAGGCTGTCCTTAGACTGCTCTTCTCTTGCCGGGCAGTTTGCTGCATCTGGAGGAGCTCACTGGAGAATCTCCAACAGCGGAGTGGGCCTTCAACTACCGTAAGTACCTGCAAATGAGCGCATAGTCCAGTGGCTGAAGATTAAATACTGCCCATCAGATCCTAAACAAAACCCCGAAATAATCTCCCTGATGTAATTAATTGCCGTAAATCTAAATGCTCCCAAGTCTTTCCCCCCCACCCCCTTCATCCCTCCCTTTTTCCTTCCCTCCGCGATCCCAGCCGTGCCTCGCTGAGAATCTCTGGGCGCTGTAGATATCTTTCCTTTTCCTTCTCAGTCTTCCCTCCAAACCTTTAGCGGAGCATGTACCCGGCACCTCGCTGAGCCCAACCCCTTTGATTCCTGGAACCCTCAAAGCTATGCAGGGGGCGAGCCATTAGACATTTCAGGTTTGTCACCCTCAAAAGCACTGCGGCGCTGCCTAAGGGTGTGTAAAGTGCTTGGGGTGGAGTAGAAGGGAAGGGTGAAAAGGCTAGACTGCCGAAGTTGGCGGTGGGGGGGGGGGGAGTGTGAAAGGCCAAAAATGGGCGTGGCCAATTAACCTGAAGCCTGCAGCTCCTTCCAATGTTCCCTGGACAGAAGATTCATCATTTTGGCTGGATATAAATGGTAGAGTTTCCTTAGTAGGTTGCGGAGGGGTCAGCCATGCTGAGAAATCCAGCTTCCCTTATTCCCCTCAAGCCCCCAGGAAGCGAAACCCTGGTTTAGGGGTCTAAGTGGCAAGGCTAGAATCTCAGATGGCATTCCCTGGCAGAATCCCAGGTTGAACCTTTCCCTTGGCAGTAAAACCTGAGTTCCTCCAATAAATTCTGGCCTAAAGCCTCAGGGGAACAAAGCAACAGGGTGGCACCCAAGCCTGGGCCTGGGCCTGACCCTAAGAGGAGTGGGGGCAAGAGTCTGTAGGAGGTGAGATGAAAGAGCATCTTTAGGGTGCTATACCAGATTAATACCCCCTTTGGGAAGAAAAATAGCCAAGTTTTAATGAAATGTTCACTATGTGCCTGGCACTGTACATGTATTGTCTCAGATTCAACACAACAGCAAGGCTAGGTATATATTACTCCCCAACTTTATAGATAAGAAAAGTTCAGAGAGGGTAATTTGAGCATCCTTCAAGGCAAAGTAAGAAATGCAAAGGGAAACTGTGCTTCCCTGGATCTCTGATGGTCCACCTGCTTCCTACAGCCCAGGTGTTTGAATCTTCCTCTTTTTTCCTGCTCCTTCATCCCTCCTAGTGTTATCACTGGAGCAACTTAGGGACTTCAAGATCAGGATCAGTTTGGGGAAGCAAAATCACCGCTTTCTGTTCTGAGAGCTGCCTTTATCCCACTGTGTTGAAATAGAATTAAACAGCCAGAACCTCAGGCTCTGAGTAGAGAGTTGGTAGAAGGGAGTTAGCCTGAGTTTGTGTGATGGGCATATGCCTTTCCTTGGCAAAAGGATACTCTGGGTCCGGGGGTGGGGTAGGAGAGGCAGAAGAGTGTAAGGGGTCTACTTATGGACGTGTAGGGCCTGTGGTCAATAGTGATTTTCAAGAAAATGAGAAGGCCTCGCTGAACTCACATATCTTTGCCATATTCCCTGAAATTCAAGCAATTCTTTTTTTTTCCTTAGGGGCAATGAACAAGAATGCTTATAAATTATGGGCAGCCAATAAATCATTTGCATCTTATATCAGTTAGCTCAAGTAACTTGATTCCCCAACACCTACTCAAGATGGAGGCTTTGAGATTTTGGGGGGTAAGAAATAAAAGTAATATTAGATTTGAAGCATTCTGACATTCTGCATAAGGGCAGGCCTGGATGGGATGAGATGGTACAGGTGAGGTAGGGTGAGAAAGGGGTCAAGGGCTGCCTCTGAAAGTTTAAATACTGGTTTTAGAGCATAAGCATTAGAGTTAAACATAGATTTGCATTTTGGCTCTGATATTTAATATCTTTTGACTTTGGGCAAATTATATCCTGTCTAAGCCTCAGTTTCCTAGCCAGCAAAATGGTGATGGTAGAAACGCTTCCTTTGCTAGGTTGTTGAAGTACTCAGACAAAAATATATATGTATGAGTAAAGGATCTGAAAAGGTGACTCTCTACACCTCCCATCTCCCTCATACCATGTGGCTTCTGCTGGCCTGGATTAGGCCTCTGGGCCTCTGAGATCCCATGGAAAGACAGACATTTCAATAAATCTGACATGGTAGATACCAGCAAAGACCTTGGGTGGGAGAAGGGGGAAGTGAGGAAAAGGGACAAAGAGAAGAAGTAGCCAGTAACCCTGCCTGCCAGTGAGGGAGTGGAAGGAAGGGAGGGATGTCAGGTGCAACTTACTGATCCAAACTAAACTTTCCGAAGCAGGATCAGTCCCCTGAGTAAAAACACTTCTGCTTTTAGATCTCACCACCTGATGAGGGGCACAGCCCTTCAGGACTCCAGAGGCTCCATGACCCTGGACAGGCCAGGGGAAGGGGCCACCATGCTGCGGACATTCACTCTCTTACTCTTTTGCATTCGTGAGTACAAGGAAGTGGTGGCAGGGCAAGTGAACCTGTTATAGTTACCCCTATGGGAAGGGAATGGAGAATATTGAGGTTTGAGGGTGGGTGGGAACAATGAGGGGCTCTCCTTTACCATAATCTCTCTTTTCAGGGTTGAGTCTGGGTATGACACCAATAGGTAAGTGAGTCCTGCTACCTCAAGTACCTTCCTTCCTGAAGGCCACAAGACATTGACCTGCTTCCATGGCCCTGGACATAACTGCCTTGAGAGCCCAAAGGCAATTTCCAGATTGAGCTGGCTGGGAATCAGGACCTCTTACTTCATGACTTGGTTTCCCACAAAATAGTAAAGAACTTTGTCTCAGATGGAAAGGAAGCAAGACTTGCACTTCATTCCCCAACTCACTTGAATTCCTTAAACAAATATCTTGGGGTCCCTATCCCACCCCCATAAAAGTATGCATCCTGTCCCCAAGGGAAGAAAAAAGGAGGAATCTGGGTTGGGGCTAATTTTAAGGGACATTGGAGGGGCATGTTATGGGAGGGAGAGGGTTGGACTGCTGACATCTTTGTTATCTTTGGGAATGACAGCAATGATGCAATCTCAACCAGAGCTGTGGATAGAGACCAACTACCCCCAGGCCCCTTGGGAGAACATCACACTTTGGTGCAAAAGCCCCTCTCGGATTTCAAGCAAGTTCCTGTTGCTGAAAGATAAGACACAGATGACCTGGATCCGCCCTTCCCACAAGACCTTCCAAGTTTCATTCCCCATTGGTGCCCTTACTCAGTCCAATACAGGTCTTTACAGGTGCTGCTACTGGAAGGAGACGGGCTGGTCAGAGCCCAGTAAAGTTTTAGAGTTGGAGGCACCAGGTAAGACAGAGATAGATAATCAAGAATAAACTCCAGCTCCTGGGACTGAACCTTGCCTTCCCAGAGCAGGGTTTAATTCATTCGTTTGCCTCAAATGCATGCATGTATAATGCATGCATTCCACAGTTAGTAAATAAGTGCCTAGTCTCTATAGATGCAGAGTGAGGACACAGACTCTGGAACAGATCTAGAGGGCAAGCTCTCAACATAGGGGATACCCTAGATGGGGGAACAAGGGGTGACAAATAAGGGTCATACAGGGAAGACTCATTTAAGTAGAGCGCTCTGCCGCTCCCTGAGCAGCACTCCCCTTGCTCTTCCTGAATACCAGTTCATTCTCTCCTTCCAGGCCAGCTGCCCAAGCCCACTTTCTGGATCCAGGCTGAGACCTCCCCTCTTCCTGGATGTAATGTTAACATACTCTGCCATGGCTGGCTGCAGGATTTGGTATTCATGCTGTTCAAAGAGGGATATGCAGAACCCGTGGATTACCAAGTCCCAACGGGGACAGTGGCCATATTCTCCATTGCCAACATGACACCTGAGAGTGAAGGGGTTTACATCTGCCGCACTCACATCCAGATGCTCCCTACCCTGTGGTCAGAGCCCAGCAACCCCCTGAAGCTGATTGTGGCAGGTGGGTGTGGCTATGGCTGCTGGGGTCTGATGATCGTTGTCCCCGGGATCATGGTTGGATGAGCCAGCGTTTCTGACATTACTTTCCTTGCCCAGTTCTCTGCAAGGCCCATGAGCTAAAGTCATTTGACATTTTACTGAGATGCAAATTAGAATCACACATGCTATGAGGTAAATGTTTGGGAGCCAATCACTTGGCTAGTGAGTGAGTCCAGCCAAATGTCCAGCAGCTTCAGCTCATCACAGCTTTGTTGTTCTCTATTTGTCGAAAATCATGCATTCATTCATTCATTAGGCTTTTATTGAGCACTTAATATGTGCCAGGCACTGCCACTGCAGTCTTGTAAACTGACTTTTTTAATTTAAAGTATTTTTATTCTATTTCTGGGTTTTATTTTTAAGTGTGGAAAATAGAATGAGTTGCTAGTGCTGGTGATAAAAATAAACAAAAAAATGACAAAGAAAGTGATAGTTCATATTTTAGAAATGACTTTATAAATTAATTTAGTCTTGTATATACAGATCCAGTAAGGCAGTACCAAGCTTTAAACACAGTAGAAGCCTCCCCACAATGCCCAAACACTAGACACACACCCCCACTCCCCCACCCCATGGCCCGGATGCTTCTAGACAGAATTGGCCACACTTGCTTTAGTTCCCTCATCAAGTTAAATAGGCTTGGGGAAAGCTGTGGTGCCACAGAAAGTGCCTGAACTTAGAAGCAGTAATCCTAGTTTCTAGTTCCACCTCTGACACTGCCTCCCTGTGTGATACTGAGCAAGTAACTTCACCTCTGTGCTTCGGTTTCCCCCACTCTAAAATGGAATAACAGTATCTATCCAATCTACTGTATGATGCCTCTCTGTGACTCAGTTTTCTCATTTGCAAAATTGGTATAATAATAATGCCTACCTCACAGGGTTGTTGTGAGGATTTGCCTAAATATATGTACAGTGCCTGGCATATAAGTTCTCAATAAATGGTAGATATTAATTTTATTAGTATAGCTTTTTATTGAGGATCAAAGAACAAAAGCCTGTCTGTTTGAACTGTGTGTTATGGATGTTTGTTGTACGAATGCCTTTCCAGTATAGATGCCACTAACACACACTTCTGCAGTTACCTGTTTGCTGGTGTCCCCCACTAGGCCATGAGCTTTTGGCTAACAGGGACTGTGTCTATCTTCTTTACTTGTATATTCCTCGACCTACACGATGCCTGACACATCCTAAATGCTTAATGAGCATATGATAGAGCTGATCCTTCCAAGAATGGGTGGGTGGGCCTACCTGGGATTGGGATGGGTAAGAAGGAGTGGTTTGGGAGTGAGGTTTGCCCTCTATTTTGTAGTTTAATCTCTTTGGAGGAACAATACATGGAAATGAGGGTGTGACCCCATTAACAGAGGTTTCTTTGGGTTGCAGACTTACTGGCCAATCCCTCCTTATTGGCCTCTTTCAATCCCCTGTGGGAAGTGTCCTCTGTGAACTTATTGAGTTCAAAAGCCATCCTTAATACTGCAGTAGCATTCATGCTTTATGAAGATGGAATAAAAGTCATTTTCAGAAGTTTGGTTTCTTGGGTGGTTTGAAGAACTACATTTGGCATTTCAGGGACCTAAAGATACAGGGAATTACAAATGTAGATATTCCGCTGAGACACACCCTACACATAGTTAGAGCTCAGTGGAGCTGATAGAGTCTGGTGAGAGGGAAGGGGCATAAGTGAACTTACCCTTGATTGCCTCCTAGAAAAGGCAGAGATTCAAGGAAGGAAGAGGGAGCAGAGGGTAAACTTCAGCTATCACTTTCTATCTAAGGGAACTAGGAAAATTAAACCAGAATATAATAAGGAAGAATCATCCTACATCTAACTCAGGGTCTCTTCCCTTTCTAGGACTCTATCCCAAACCAACTCTGACAGCCTATCCTGGGCCCATCATGGCACCGGGAGAAAGCCTGAATCTCAGGTGCCAAGGGCCAATCTATGGAATGACCTTTGCTTTAATAAGGCGTGAAGACTTGGAGAAGTCCTTTTACCACAAGAGACCATTAAAAAATGAGGCATATTTCTTCTTCGGGGCTTTGAAAATCCACAATGCTGGACATTACCTCTGTTTTTACTATGATGGGTCACACAGGGGTTCACTCCTTAGTGATATCCTGAAAATCTGGGTAACCGGTAAGAGAAGGGGATGCAATGGGACCTATTGTAGGGGCTAAGGGTGTACAACTTGCTCAGGGCCTGCTGGAGAACCTAATCATGCAGCCAGGGATAATGGTGGGGGAAGGAGCAGAATTTGTGTAAGTGGACTTAGGATGGGATTTGCCAAGGGTGGACAGGAGGAAGAGAAAAAGAACCCTAAGTAGTGGGAGGGGTAAGTCAGACAGTTAGCCTTTTATATTTTGGGTCTTGTCCTAGACACTTTCCCGAAGACCTGTCTACTTGCTCAGCCCAGTCCTGTGGTCCAAATGGGTCAGAATGTGAGCCTGTGGTGTCGAGGGCCAGTGGATGGAGTGGAACTTACACTCTATAAGAAAGGAGAAGACAAAACACTTCAGCTCTTGGATACCACCAGCATCAGTGATGATGAGTCATTCCTCCTCAACAATGTGACCTATAGTGATGCTGGCATCTATAGCTGCCACTATCTCCTCTCCTGGAAGACCTCCATCAGGATGTCATCACACAACACCGTGGAGCTTGTGGTTGTAGGCAAGTGCTAAGAACTATTGTTTGTTTTAATCATCATTACAGTGTTATAAGAAGGAGCTGGTGGCCCTGTACCCTCTTGGATTTATGGGCCAAAGAAAAACACACTAGGAGGGTGGTGTAGAATTTTCTCCAAAAACTTTAGGTACCTTCTCTCCCAGGGTTGATACTCAAGCCCTGTCTCAGCATGGACAAGCTCCATCGTGACCCCTAGAAAAGTTATTTTCCTTAAGACCAGGGGAAACTTACAGGTATGGGTCTTTCTGATTGAAGCTAGGAGAATCAAGGAATGGGCCAAGGAGTTCTGATGCACAATCAAATTTTGAAGCCAGTGATCTAGTGGAAGTGAAAAAAAAGAGAAGACCAAATAAGGACCTGAGAAACATTTGTTGAGGGAGGAGGCACTGAGTTCAAAGTCATTTGTTCTAACTCTGGTCTCTGGATTGGTTGCAGATAAGCCCCCCAAACCCTCCCTGTCAGCCTGGCCCAGCACCGTGTTCAAGCTAGGAAAGGCCATCACCCTTCCGTGCCGAGTACCTCAACCAGTACTTGAATTTTGTCTGGAATGGGAAGAAAGAGCAACATCCCCAAAATTTTCAGTGGATGGAGACTTCATCATCAGTAATGTTGAAGGGAAAGGCACGGGGACCTACAGTTGCAGCTATCGCATAGAGGCACATCCTAACATCTGGTCATATCGCAGTGAGCCTCTGAAACTGATGGGGCCAGCAGGTGAGAGGAACACTCTTCACAGGGATGCCCCCTCCGCAGCTTTGGCCATCATACCTCTGGGATCCCAGAACAATGCCCAGAAGGATGTGGAAAGGGTAGTTGGGGGCTTGTAAGTCAGGGCCCTTGGGTTTGGGCATCTTTCCTCTGGAGTGGTCTCACAGTCACTCAAAGGCAGTGAGCAGGATACTTTCAAGGGTCCTATTCTTCATGAAAATAAGGCCACTTTTGTCTCAACTTCCCTTCACCTGCAGTAACCAGATCCCCCTCCCCCCATGAATGTATTCAACAGTCCCTGTCCCCATCAAGGTCCCTGCTTTTGGTCTTCTCTGGCCACAGGCTTTCTCACCTGGAATTACGTTCTGAATGAGGCTATCAGGTTGTCCCTAATCGTGCAGCTTTTTGCCTTGCTGTTGGTAGAGCTGTGGATAAGGTGGAAGTGTCGGAGACTCAGAATCAGGTAACTGTCTTGTCCCAACCCCCTGTTCCTCAATCTAGCTGAGTTCAGGCTCCCCAGAGACTCAGGAATGGGTCATACTCCAGTTGAGACAAGCCACAGGGGGGGACCCTTTGTATCCTCTACCTTCTGGGCTTAAGATATAAGACTTTCTCATTCCAGCAGTTTCTCTTTCACCTCACAGAGGGGTCGGCACCCAAGCCATAGGGTGGAGAAATGCATATTTCTCAGAGCCTGGAGAAGTAATCAGAACCTTGTTCACTGATTCCCCCAGGAGGGTGCCCAAATCTCCCTCCCAAGCCACCCTGCCTCTCAGAGATGATTGATGTCTTACACATTAACTTCAACTGAACTTTTTTTGTAAGAAGCCATGCTGTCCTGTCTCCCAGGATGTTATCTAACTCCCATCCCAACTTTCACCCTTACCCCTAGCTCTCAAGGGCTAGCAAGACTTGTAGTCCATCCTAGCTGCTATGGAAGCCAGTCTCTCTGCCACTCTGGCCCCCAACCACTGTGCAGAGCATTCTGAGAATATAGCCTTAGCCTGGGTGGGCATCTGATGAGGGAATGGATTGGGCCAGGGAATCAGACTGCTTCCTCTGACCCATAAAATGTCAAGCCAAACAGGTTCTCCTGCCATTTACTTTTATCCTTTTGTGTCCCCTGGGTCATCTCCTTCTCTCCCTGATCCTTACGGCCTTGTGCTCAGGCTATTCTGCCTGAAAATGAGAAGAGAAATGACAGCTCCTAGCTTGGTGGGGCCTCTGTTCCCAAACGCCTTGCTTACTTTCCCCCACCTTGTGATCCTGGCTGTACCCCTCCCCCACCATGATCACAGGACTTCGTGTGCCTGGGAGTATTCAATATACAATGGATGATGACTATGACTGTGTGTGTCTGTGTTTCCCGCTGGGATCTGAGGAACAGAGTGCTTGGGTAATGAGGAGAGAGCCAGCTAAACTTTCTGCAAAACCACTACCCTTCGAGCTTTCAAAAACTTTCAATGGGGGTCAAGTCCTACTTCTCCACAGAACCTATCCTGAGTTCCACATACACTGGGGTAACCTTCAAGCCAGGGGTTAGAAAAAATGTAGCTTCAAGTGCCCCACCTCAGCCCAGGTCCACTGCATCAAAGAATGAATTTGGAAACCAGACTTCAGAGAATGCAGCTTGAAAAGCATGTTTTCCTGGCCAGGAAGGAGGGTCAGTGTTTTCTAAGTAAAAATTGTCAAATGAATTTTGGCTTAGTATAATCTAATTCTACAGGACCCATAACCTAAAAATGCTGCACATTTCTAGTCATAATCTGGGTGGGGGTAGAGAGATCCCACTCTCTGACAAGCTTAGCTCAGCACTGACAATCCTCTGGTAATTCACTGTTGCTGCCTAGGCAACCCTTCCATAACAAAGGCAGGTGAGGCAGGTCGGTCGGAGGACCAATACTGCCATAATAAAAACTGCTTCCAAACTTAAACTTGATGACTGAGAAACCCCCAAGATTTCTCCCTCCACCCCCACACCCACCACCCAGAGCTGCCGATTACACTGAGCTCCAGGGGTTCTGAGAGCTGGAGTTACAAAGGCATTTTCACATCTGACATCTCAATTCCAGCAACAGCCTAATCAGGGGCCTTGGGGACCTGACATTTGATATTGTCTGGGGATGGGGGAGGGGGCAGGGGGCACGTGGGTCATGAAAGAGCAAGAGGTTTGTAGGTGGTGAGGCCCTCAAAAAGAAAAGTCATCCATGTCAGAAAAGATTATATCCCATTATCCTGGCCATATCCAATCCCTATTGGGTGGTGAGTAAGCCAATGACATAAATTGCCGCCCCCTTCTCTCCGCCCTCCCCTTAATCCCAGCAACTCCTCTCATCTCTTTTCTGGTCTTGCTAGAGAAGCCTGGTTGCTGGGAACAGCTCAAGGGGTCACCATGCTCTTCATACTCACAGCTCTTCTCTGCTGTGGTGAGTAGAAGGGGGTGGGGAAGGGGCCTGGGCAGAAGGCCGGGGTGAAGTCCCGTGGGGGAGGGGACAAAGCCCTGGCAGCAATTTCTTTTGCAGGACTGTGCAATGGGGTATTGACAGAAGAGACTGGTGAGTTTTTCCTGCTCCAGACTGGGACATTCCTCCCTGGAGATCCGAAATAACTACAGAGTGTCAGTGTCAGTGGCCAGGGAGTGACTGGTTGGGAGGGAAGGACAGCCAGGAAGGGGCACTTGCTAAAGCTGCTGGCAAAACTCAGCCTCCAACTCTGCTTTTCTGCCTGCAAAATTTCCCCCAAGCTTCTGCATTTTTCTGACCCTCAGCTGAGACATCAGCTTCCCCTTTCCCCAGCACCTGCGGAGAGAAGGAAAGAGTTTGGATTGAGGTTGAAAGGGGAGGTGGGCAATGTGATCTGGGGAGGGTGTTCAAGGGCAAGGAAAAGGGGAGGGTGAGGGTGAGGGAGGATGGCTTCACTAACTCTGCTGTTTCTAGAAATAATCATGCCAACCCCAAAGCCTGAGCTGTGGGCAGAGACCAACTTCCCTCTGGCCCCGTGGAAGAACTTAACCCTCTGGTGCAGAAGCCCTTCTGGCTCAACTAAGGAATTTGTATTGCTGAAGGACGGGACCGGGTGGATTGCAACTCGCCCGGCCTCAGAGCAGGTCCGGGCTGCCTTCCCCCTTGGAGCCCTGACCCAGAGCCACACCGGGAGTTACCACTGCCATTCGTGGGAGGAGATGGCTGTGTCAGAGCCCAGTGAGGCACTTGAGCTGGTGGGGACAGGTAAGAAAAGGCAGAGGGTCCTCACGGAGTGATCCCCAGTGCCCCTGGGACTCCAGCACTGTTCCTAGGGATGGGGAATGCTCAGAGACCCAGAGCCCAAGGGGCTTCTGCTGCCTGTAGGAGAGGAGGGGCACTGAAATGGGGGGAGGGGTGGGGAGCAGAGTTATGAGAAGACTGACAGGAAGAGGCAAAGGCCAGTCCAGGATGGATTTCTATTTTGCTGACAAAGTGACTCCGAGTGTCCCTGTTTTGTTTTCCAGACATCCTCCCCAAACCTGTCATTTCTGCTTCCCCCCCAGTTCGGGGCCAGGAACTGCAAATCCGGTGCAAAGGATGGCTGGCAGGCATGGGGTTTGCTCTGTATAAGGAGGGAGTGCAGGAACCTGTCCAGCAACTTGGTGCCCTTGGGAGAGAAACCTTCTTTACAATCCAAAGAATGGAGGATAAAGATGAAGGCAATTATAGCTGCCGCACTCACACTGAAAAGCGCCCCTTCAAGTGGTCTGAGCCCAGTGAGCCCCTGGAGCTTGTCATAAAAGGTAGAGCTGAAAGGGGTGTGTGAGAGAGGAGTGGGGAAGCAAAGCTCTGGGTCAGACACCCCTCTCCTCACAGCAAACTTTGCTGCTGGTCCTAGGAGCCTGTGTCCAATCTTAGAGCCAGGCAGGCGTGGCGCTGGGAGTGCCAGGGCCTCTGGCTGCACGATATTAATAGCCATAATCGTTATTAATAGCTGGGGTTTGTAGAGGGTGATTTAATTTTTCTAATTATTTTCATATCAATTATCTCATTTAGCTATAGAGCAAATATTCAAAGGAGGTGCATCAGGTACCATTTCCCCTTCTTGTCCAAATGGGCAAACTGAGGCTCAGGGAATCAGCAGAGCCCCAGTGACAATTCACCCTTTTAGCTAGCTTCCATTGCTTGTTCTGCTGACAGGGAGGATTCGGCTGGAGGAGGTGAGGGGTGGGGTGAGGGGTCCCTGTGAAAAGTTCATCTGCAAAGTGGTTTTGCCTTGACTTTTAAATGCACCTTCTTCTGAATGAAATACTATAGGAAACAAAGCAGCTTTCTGGAACCAATATTTGCTATATTAGCAATCTTTCTTCTCTCTTAATTTGGTTTTGTATTGTGTTTGGTTTTTTGCCTTCTAGAAATGTACCCCAAGCCCTTATTCAAGACATGGGCCAGTCCTGTGGTCACTCCTGGTGCCCGAGTGACTTTCAATTGCTCCACCCCCCACCAGCAAATGAGCTTTATCCTTTACAAAGATGGAAGTGAAATAGCGTCCAGTGACAGGTCTTGGGCGAGTCCGGGAGCCAGTGCGGCCCACTTTCTGATCATTTCGGTGGGCATTGGTGATGGAGGGAATTACAGCTGCCGCTATTATGACTTTGCTATCTGGTCTGAGCCCAGTGACCCTGTGGAGCTCGTGGTGACAGGTCAGGAGTGGGGAAATGCAGGTGGAGGTGGTACTGACTCTGGGACAGTGGGCGGGAGGGCTGTCAGTGGGAGAGGAAGAAGTGCTCCTTCTAAAAGTCACCAAGAATGTGCTTAGGACCGTGCCTAACACATGGTAAACAGTCCATGTAAGGCAGCTGCCTTATATGATCACTAATACAGGAAGGTGAGAAAGAGGAGAAGAGGGAGGAAAATAATTCACGTCTGGGGAAAGAAATGAGGCAGATGGGGGTGTTTCACATGTTGCCCTATTTCTGAAATCTTTTTGTGGCTTGGCCTTGAGCTTTAGGCCCAATGTCCACTTTTTCTTTAGCTGGGCTGTCAGAGATTGGTGGGCTGGATGGATGGCCCTCAGAGAAATGGCGGAGACCTTGAAATGTCTACTGCATATTATGCAGCCATTACAAATGATAGTTTTCAAAGGCTGTTTAACGTCATAGGAAAATATTTACAACATAAAGTGAAAAATATTAAACTACACAATTGTGCATATAGTAGGCCCAATTATGCAAATAGTTAGAGCTACAATGACATGGCCATGTACAAAAAAATAAATGGGAAATAAATACATAAAAATGTAGCAAGAATGGTTATCTTTGAGCAGTAGAATTGTATTTTCTTCATAGGTTTTTTTCTGTATTTTCTAATTTTCTACAATAAGCATATATTGTTTTTTCTAATAACACTAAAAAAACAATGTTCAGAATGTCAGGGGCAGGATTCTCTCATGCTGTGATCTCTTTAATTTCAGAATTCTACCCCAAACCCACTCTCCTGGCACAGCCAGGTCCTGTGGTGCTTCCTGGGAAGAATGTGACCCTGCGCTGCCAAGGGACTTTCCAGGGCATGAGGTTTGCCCTCTTGCAGGAGGGAACCCAGGTTCCCTTACAGTTTCAGAGTGCCTCAGGGAATGTGGCTGACTTTCCCCTCCACGCTGTTGGAGCAGACGACTCTGGGAACTATAGTTGTGTCTACTATGAGACCACTATGTCAAACAGGGGATCATATCTCAGCAAGCCTCTTATGATCTGGGTGACTGGTAAGGACTGACAAGACATGGGACTGGGACAGAGACAACTGGAATAAGGGTTAGAGAGGGTGATCCCTCTTGGAAGGGTAGGCTAGGCCATGGAGGGGAACGGTTGTGTCTGGAAGGAGAAAAATAAAGGATTAATTCAGCGAGTGATAAGTTTGCATACTAACCACTTTCCATCTTTGGTCTCTTCCTAGACACATTCCCCAAGCCATGGTTGTTTGCTGAGCCCAGTTCTGTGGTTCCCCTGGGGCAGAATGTTACTCTCTGGTGCCAAGGGCCAGTCCACGGAGTAGGGTACATTCTGCACAAAGAAACAGAAGCCACTTCAGTGCAGCTCTGGGGATCCATCAGTAATGATGGGGCATTCCCCATCACCAATATATCTGGTGCTAACATAGGTCGTTACAGCTGCTGCTACCATCCTGACTGGACCAGCCCTATCAAGATACAGCCTAGCAACACCCTGGAACTTATAGTCACAGGTAAGGGGAAGATGCTCTGGCGTGAGCAGGGGAGTAAAGAGTGAGTAAGCTGTCAGATGGTTCATGGGAAACGGTAAACGGTTTTCCAAGAGCTCAAGGAGAGGCAAGCAGTAGTCTCTCCTCTTTATTGAGACTCCAGTGATGCCCTGGAAAGTGGCCACCTCTCTATGACCAAGAGTCAATTTCTTCTAGGTTTGCTCCCCAAACCCAGCCTATTAGCCCAGCCTGGTCCCATGGTGGCCCCTGGAGAAAACATGACTCTTCAATGTCAAGGGGAACTGCCAGACTCAACATTTGTCCTGTTGAAGAAGGGTACTCAAGAGCCCTTAAGGCAACAGAGGCCAAGAGGGTACAGGGCTGACTTCCGGATGCCAGCAGTGAGCAGTGAAGATTCTGGGATGTATAGCTGTGTTTATTATTTGGATTCTGCTCCCTTTGCAGCTTCTAATCTCAGTGACTCCCTGGAGATCTGGGTGACTGGTAAGGTCTTGGAGATTTCAGCAAGAGTCTAGATTTTGTAGTTTCTTAGTAGTTAGCCCTAAGGGGGTAAAGGGCTGGGTTCAAGGCCATTTCTAACTCTGTGTCCTGGTTGGCTGCAGATAAGCCCCCTAAACCCTCCCTGTCAGCCTCGCCCAGCACTGTGTTCAAGCTAGGAAAGGATATCACCCTTCAGTGCAGAGGACCCCTGCCAGGTGTGGAGTTTGTCCTGGAACATGATGGAGAAGAAGCGCCTCAGCAGTTTTCAGAGGATGGAGACTTTGTCATCAACAACGTAGAAGGAAAGGGCATTGGAAACTATAGCTGCAGCTACCGTCTGCAGGCCTACCCTGATATCTGGTCAGAGCCTAGTGATCCCCTGGAGCTGGTGGGGGCAGCAGGTGAGATGATAATCCCTCCATGGTTCTGGCATGACATACGTGGGATCCCAGAGATAGTCTCCATGGAGACAGGCCAAACATGGAGGGGGAGGGGTTTGGAATCAGAGACCTCAAGTGTGGTCATTTTTCTTTCTCCTAGGGATGGTAAGGAGGTGGAACCTCAGATTCACTCAAAGATAGTGAGAAGGATACTTTCAAGGCCTCTTCCACCCCCCAAAAGGAGGGCTGCTTCTGCCTCAGCATAAGCACTGCCTCTGACCACCCCATCTGCAGTCTCAACACATGGTTCCCGAGTGAACCCCGGAGGAGGCCAGATGAGGGGGCAACAAGAGATCCAGGGGAGCGTACATGCACTGATCTCTATGGCCTTGGTTTCTGCTCTTTTATCACCACAGGGCCTGCTGCTCAGGAATGCACTGTGGGGAACATTGTCCGAAGTACCCTGATCGTGGTGGTGGTTGTAGCTTTAGGGGTGGTGCTAGCCATAGAGTGGAAGAAGTGGCCTCGACTCCGAACCAGGTAATTGCCTTATGTCAGCCTCCTTCTGTGAACCCAGGGGCTTCTGTTAAAACAATGGTACATATGCTCCTCTAGAATCTGAGTCCCACAATGCAACCTGTTTTCAGGTTGATGGCTCTGGAGCCTCTCTTAGTCATGTCTTTTTCTCTACACAGAGGCTCAGAGACAGATGGAAGAGACCAGACCATAGCCTTGGAAGAGTGTAACCAAGAAGGAGACCTGGGCACCAATACCAACTCTCCCTCATCGATCTCTCAGGGAACCTCAGTGGAACTGCCAGTCCCAATATAATAATCACCTCCTTGGCAAGAGCTTTCCTCTCCTCTTTTTTTATCCTCAGAGACCTGCACATCTGGCTGGTTTCCCTGGGAGTCCACCCCATCTACTGTTCCTTGGCCACTAATCACCTGAGATAGGTCAAGGGGATTTTAGGAGTTGAGAGCCCTACCAGGGTGAGATGTTTCCTGAAGAGAGAGTCCCTGCCCTCGTAACTCCTCACTGTACTGATTTACTGGTGCATGAAATTCTATTAAAAATGTATTCTTCTGAATAAAGAGAGTATTCACTATTTAACTGCAAAAACTATGGCAGTGGTTTTCCATTGGTTTGTTGTCCACTTAACACTTAGCAAAAATGGTGTATTGGAGCTGATCTCCATGGCAGAATAAGAGAGCACAGCGCTGCTAGTACAGAGAAAGGAGCTCAAGGATGGGGTCGGGGAGGAGGGAAGGCTCCAAAATGTCCATTTTGGTTTGGGACATGGTAACTGAACAGAATGTCCCATCATCCTTCCATTTCATTTTTGAATGAATGGAAGAATGAATGAATGGCAATGTTCTCTCCAAGTTGAGCCTGAGGAGGGCAAACACTGAAGTTACATACTTTCTACTGTGCTACTTCTAGGTCTGTAGTACACCTGCTTTCCAGTGTTAGGATTAGTCCACTACAGAACTTGGAGATCGGCAAAGTGTGCTTTGTGGCCCTTAACTAACAACCACAGGTGTACATTAATTCACTCTTAAGTGTGAAAGGTTGATAAAAGCTGAATATTTTGCCCCTCCCTAAAGAAAGCCCTGTTTTCTCTGGTGGTGGGATCTCAAAGAGTGAGTAAGCAAGTGAGGTGATTGGTTTAGAGCAGGAGACCTCCCAGTGTCCTGTCCCAGTGTTCTTTCCCAGTATTCCAAACGGAGGCTGGCTCGCATTCCGAGCCCCTGATCTCTTTCCTTGGATCGGCATGCAACTTGCCGCATGGGTGGGAATCCAGTACACATTAGGAGGGTTGTATTGGGGAAGGGGGCTTACCTAATTCCTTAAACCTGTTCAAGACCTCAGAAGAACTGACCTATGGGTCCTAGAGGAGGTCACAACCCCTTCACATCTGACCCTAAAGTTCCTTACCTCCCAACACTGTTTAATTCTAAGCTATCACTGTTCAATAGAGCGATGTACAAGGGTGCTGTACACAGTGAGTTATTTATCCTTGGTTACGATAAAATTTAGAAAACAACTCCCATATTCTTATATCAGGAAGCTTATTTACCCAGCAACTTAATGAAAAAAATGCATCACATTTCCCTTAATCCTTACAGAATGAAACACTCTTGAGTACTATAGACTAATTTGTATTAAGCTCTTTGGAATGTAGAAGTACAAAGTCTCACTCTGATTTCCATTTGATGAGATTCTATTAGTCGCATATACTAATTTCTTATAGTGTTTCTAAAAATTCATTTCAAAAATGCTTTTACATTTGAATTTAGGAAAACCTAATTGTTGCTTTCTGCCAAACACCACTAGCTGCCTTCAAACTCTCCATCCCTAACCCTCAAGCAAGCTGTACATTTTGAACACTGGAGGGAGGCCTGGTTTTGGTCGTTGGTTTTAGGATAGAAGTCCTTTGATCAGGTCTGATTTTGTTTTCCAATCATTGGATATTCCAGCGTGTATTGTCAAGCCTAGTGGTAGGGCTGTGCAAGTTAGCAAGTGATCACTTGATTGCTTTAGCTATTCAGGGAAAGAGAGATGGGAAGAAAAGAGCAGAGGGCCAAGGACTGAAATTTACAGAAACCTCTGCGTTAGAAAAGCAGGATGAAGATGAAGCAAAGATGATAGAAAAAGACTTGTGAAATCCAGACATTGAACCTGGGGTCTCCAGTATCAAAGAGTCAAACAGAGATACCCGTGCAATAAGAGAAAATTCTGATAAATCTTTAAATGAGAAACAAGTAGTGAGAAATATTGTGACACTGGACTGTTAGTTGGTTTTCTAAAAGCATTCACATATACTATTCTTACACTTAGAGAACCAAGTTCTACATGATTTAGAAGAGAAAAAAAATAGTTGTCAATTAACTGTGAAATACTTAAAGAGTGGCTTTGGGCTTTAACTTTCCTACTCACTGTCAGAGCTATTTCAATGAATTAAATATCTATTTATAATGCAAAGGTAGCTTGTTGCTGACAATGCTCCACATGGTATGTTTTTTTTAACCTGGTTGCCATGGGAATCAGTCCCTTTACCCCTGGCTGGCCTCTAATCAGCTCAGCATCAAGTAATTTCTGGGAAATGGACTCTCAATTAGGGTGGAATGGACCTTTGAGAGGAGAATTTGTCTCTGGGACTCCAGAAACAAAGGCCAAAAATCCTCTCCTCAGTTCTAAAAAACAAATGTAAATTACCCTCTGTCCATGGGTCACATCTTTGTCCTCAGCATCTTAGAGCTACAAAGATTGTCAAGGTGGTGTGATCCAGTCCCCAACCCAGTACAGAATCTCCTTTATAGCAAAGCTGACAGGTAGTACACAGCCTCTTTCTGTACACCTCCAGCGATGGGGAGCTCACCACTCCATGACACAACCTGAGAATTTCAGATTGCTTGACTGATCTCATATCTGCCTGTGTATATTCCCTTCATACTCACTGGCTCTAGTTCTGACCCAAGTTGCAACCTAGATGAAATCTACTTCTTACACATAATAATCTTACAACATTTGGAAGACATGAGTTGTCTTCCTTGAGTCCAGAATATCTCACTCAGTGTTGCTTCCAGGGTTTGGTCAACACTCGTTTGCAAATGTATCTCTATGTAGTTAACTCTCAATTATCCAGGTTTTGGAGAGGGAAGAGTTCATGCCTACCCGACTCCTGCCAGATTCAACCAGAACAGCTTTTTTATATAGTTTATATACCCGTTAATTATACAGAATATTAAACAATGAAGAAAGATGTGATGAAAAATAAAGCAGAGAAAGGAGATACAGAAGTGTGTGTTTTGTGGGGAGATTGTTGCAATTAAAAAGGGTGACTAAGAATACCTCACTGAGAATGTAACATTTGACTTATGATTAAAGGATATGAAGGAGTAAGCCATGCAGATATCTAGGCAAAGTGGGTTCTGGTCAGAGGGAACAGGGAGTACAAGAGCCCTGAGACAAGAGAATGCCTGGCTGGTTCGAGAAACTGTGACTAGACTACAGTGGCTGGAGCAGTGTAAGCAAGGAGGAAAGTAGGAGACAAGGTCAAAGAAGCAATGGGAGCCAGGGCAAGCAAGACCTTTGCAGATCTTTGTAAGGACTTTGACTTACACCCTGAATGAACTAGGAAGCCACTGGAGTGACATGATTAGACTTAACATTTAAATAGAACCATCCTGTCTTCTGTGTAGAGAATAGGCTGAGGGGCCAGGGTGGAAACAGAGATATCTACAAGGAGGCTACTACAATAATGAGGCAAGAGATGGTAGGTTAGGTCAGCACAGTAGCAAACAGGTGATGAGAAATGGTTGGATTATTGACATAATCTGAGGAAAGAGCCAACAGGATTTGCTGACAGATTGCATGTGGGGTGTGTTGTATAAACATTCTCATTAGAAGAAAAAACTGTTTCAAATATTGCCTTAGTGCTTCCTTCCCTGGGTTATTTTAATCTCATCCTCAAGAAAGGGTTTTCCATTGCCTCCCAATCCAGGTCACCACTTCTGGGCAGTTTGTCAGTGAGTCTGTCATTGTTCATCCAGAAATGTAAGCAAAATGAAGTCCTACATGTCTAAAGTGATCTGACCAGCACAGGGTATGTGACCAGGACAGTGAAATGATCATTTTCTGGGATTTCAACTCACCATTTCTTTTAATGCCATCTAAAATTACATTAGTCCTTGGGCAGCGAGATCACACTGTTGGCTCATAGGAAACTGTGGTCAACCAAAACCCACAGCTCTTTCTCACACAAGATCTTGCCAGTTCAATCCTTTCTTTTCCTTCACTTATACAAGTGATGTGTTATTTTGCAATTGAGTTTTAAACTCAGATTTAAGATTTGACATTTATCCCCGTTAGGTTTCATCATATAAGCCCCAGCTTACAGAAGTCATGTATTACCACTTAGTGAGCCCATTCATATATACCACACATATAGGTACTAACTCATTTACTCCTAACAACAATCCTGTATGGCCCCGTGCTATTATCATCCTCACTTTACACATGAGGAAACAGAGGCTCAGAGAAGTTAGGGAACATGTCCAAGGCCATCCAGCTCATAGCCAAGGTCAGAGCTGTAATTAGAATCCAATTTTGCCTGACTCCAAAGCCAGATTTCCCCATACTAAACTTTGGTTAGCACAGTATCTGGAACATAGTAGGTATACAATAAATATTTACTAAATTGTCTACCTTCGCACCCTACTTTTTTCTTTTTTGTTGAACAGACACTCATATTCACTTAGTATTTGTTAGGCTATGTTAAAAAGCTTTACATTTATTAAGCATCTTAATCTTTACAGTACATATATGAGGTAGGTACTATCATTATTCACATTTCCTACAAAGAAAGAAACAGAGCCACAGAAATTAAGCAAATTGCCTAGGTGACACAGCCAGCAAGTGTCAGAGACAGGATTTGGACCCAGGCAGTCTGGCTCCAGAGTTTGTGTTTATAACCACTAAGCTATGCTGTCTCAGGCTATTCTGAGATCCTGACCTTGCACTCTCAAGGGAAAGAGGTGCCTAGGACTAACTCGCTGTCCACTGCCCAGTGTTAAACCTGTGGCCCTCCTGTTGAAATCTACTTCAGCTTCCCCCTTCTTTTCCATTTCCTTTCCTTACCAATGGAATCTGGACTCTAGGCTTATTAAGAATGAAGACTTGTTCAGGTCCCCAGATTTAGTCTTGATCTCTCCCCTTCACTCCCAGAGCTCCATTGTACTCTGTTCTGCTATAGACCAACATTTTCAACTTCCCTCCCTAAGGAGGCAGGCAATGTGATGAAATGGTCACCATGTTGGGGAAATACCTGAAAAGGAAACCACATGGTTGGTGGTCACAGGTCAAAAGAGGCCTGGAGAAGAAAGATGTTCCCTCAGACCACTCCCCATCCCCAAGAATAGGCCCTAGGCCAGACCATCGTATGTTAAATTAACTCTACAGGATCCTGGTTAGAGTCATGTTTTAAACTGGGTGTGGTAAGGATGTGCAGAGAAATTCCAGCCATTCACCTGAGTTATTAACCTATAAAGGATGACTTTTGTGAGGAAGTCCCTTCTTATTTCAGAAGGCCGTCTTTGGTACC